AACTTCAACTATACAAGAATTTCCAATTATAGGAATATTCCAAAGTTATGCCCTGGGTCAATATATCACTCTTTGTTAGTCAAATATCATTATCATTTATAACTAATTGTAAATATAATAATGTCAGGGAATGCAAATGGCTTTCTTATTTATTTATTTATTTATTTATTTATTTTGTGTAAAATTGAGTTTATGAAAACTTAAATTTTTATATCATTATCCATGTTGTGTTGATTGTACAGTATATTTATTAAAGTATTCAAACCGATGTACACAATTATATAATAGTTCTATCGGGTATCTATTAAGTAACTTGTATACTTGTATAGTATCTTGATTTATGCCATTCAAAGATCGTTAGACTTTTCTAGTTTTTATCAACATGTTTATACATATTACAAATTTCTGATTAATAGAATTTTAATGGTGGTCATTATAAATTTAATTTATAGTACAATAATAATAATTAATTCAAAAATACAAAATGGATCTAAATAATTTAAATAACATTTACATAATCAGTCAAACAAAATACTGTACTGTACTTATTTATAAATATTAAACCATGATTCCTCAAGTTTTTCAAAATCTTATATTAATTTCACATTAAGGACAATTCACATGTATAAGACTTTAAAATTCACTAAGTTTAATTTAAAATATGTTTATAAATTTATTTTATCAATTAATTAAACTAGATACTGTATTTATTGAAAATAATTTTTAATTTTTATTGAAATATTGAGTTGATATTTTAATTATAGATTTATTTATCTCGTATAAAATTTTGACTAGAATTATCTGAAAATGTTTGATATTACATAAACTTGAGACTTAGTATCATAACTTATATATTTAATTTAAAACAAATATTAATTTTTGAACTGTATTTCAATTTAATTTTTCTAATTATAGACATATACCAGGTACAGTATATTTTAAATATCTTAAAATTCTGTGGCAATGTCAGTATCATACAGTGTCATACAGTGTCATACCATAATTTAATGATAATTAATGCTAAACAAAAATAAAAGTGTCATTCATATTTAATGAATTCACGTAATCAATTACTAAACATCATTGAAAAGTTATTTGAGTTTATTTGAGTTACACACAGTAACAAGTAATTTATATTTCCTTATCAAACTTTTCCATATTTTTTAAACAAAAATTCGTTTGGGTCAACACGTGTCTAAAAAAGTCAAATAGTAATAAGGGAAAGTGAGTATATTTTAAAACTATTTGTTCAATAAAATAAATTAAATATTCTATACTATCATAATAAACACTAACAAGTAAAAGGCAGACTATGTGCAAAAATATTCCGTCAATTTGTTGTGATTTAAATAAAATAAAATTGAGAAAATATAGCCCATGAATAAAATTTCCAGAATATTTGCACAATATTCTGTACACAATATACTGTATACCAGATTCTATCTGATGTTATCTAAACATACCATCAACTCTACTGTATTACAAATATGATCCCAGTTTTCTCATACATTTCTCAAAAGTCATATCTTTTTTAGTGTTTGATATTTGATAAGCATTTCACTTGTTATCAGAAACTATTTCTTATGAAACAACAATTTGAATAAACTTTTTTGTCGCCAAATATTATTAAGCATAATATTTTTCTCGATAATTAAACAAATGTTTTCATTTTAATAGTAAATATTTTTAAAAATTAATTAATCATTAATTTCTAATTAAGTATTTAGAAAACAAGTGAAACTTTTTTCAATAAATATATTACAAATCGCATGACTATTGACGCAATAGTTAGATAACTTGTATCTGTTATGCAATAAATGTAGAAATCTATACAAAATTACCGAAATATTGTTATTAACTACTATTTAAACCTAAATTCACTGAAAAATAACTTACACATTAATTCGCAATTTTATTTATTTACCTATTTTTGACATTTGATGTGTAAATGAAAACACTGTCACGAGTTTTGCCACACTTTCGAGAGTTATTCCATAATATAATCACCAATACTCGTGATTTCAAATAACAAGGGTCTGTAAAACAAATACTTATGACATGTGGGAAGGGATCGGATGATCGATGCGTCGATTCTTATATACATTAATACAAAAACACATTTAGTTAATTACCGGTAGCTATTTATCATATATTGGTTTATCGTATGTGTTATGAGATTAAACACAATTATTATCTCATATAAAAATCAGATTTACAAATCTAGTTTCTTACTTGTATTGTATTTCTGGAAAAAAATATTATTTACAAAACCAAACTAAATTTACATTTTGCTCATAAAATTCTATAATTATTTTATAATAACCTTAATTACCAACTAAATATCAAAATTTTATTTAATTGTACAGTATTTATTCAATATTATACTGTATGTTTGCTCTGAATATACCGTAATCTAACTTTCAGAATCATAAGAATTTGGATACAATGATAGACTACTTATAAATATAAGATATTTAGATGTGGTTACATATTTGACTTAAGAGAACCTAATTAAGTCTCCAATTTTAATGGTCTATTCACTAATTTATTGATAAATAATTTGGGTTTATGTCAGCATATGTCTGTATAAGTCATTATACTACATTAAATCACCATGATAAGTTATCATTCATAATTATCATTCACCATAATTCCTAACTCTGCATTTTTACATCGAAGTTACAAATTAAAAATTGCTTTGTTAGTGTGATAGGATTTTTGTTTGCTAATCACTATAAGCATCCTAATTGTGTTTAGATACTGTGATCATGTTATACAGTATTAATTATAAGCTAGGTTAATTGTCAAACTTTTGTTATATAATATACAACTTGTTGAAATTTAGAGATTTTAGTTTATGAACAATATTTATCTCTAACTTTATATAAGCTTAGATTTTAACGTTTCACAACATCTGTGTAATACTTATTTGTTAATGTTATATAATTTATTACTAATTAATACAGTATTTAATGAATCAGTAAATCAGTAGATCTCATGAAATACTGAACTCTCAATACAGCATAACTGCCCAAAGAGGTCACCACTTGTACTGACAAAACACACAATAAATCAATGTTTTCATGCCTTCAATCCATTAATCATTGTATTCATAAACAACAGGACAACTGAACAAAACCCCAAATATGAGAACTCAATGCTATTTCTACACAACACTCGTGACCCCCTCATCAATCGTAACGCTGTATACAAATGGCGTGAATAAAAAGCATTTCAAAACTATTTCCATAATTAGCAGTGAATTGAATGGATTTGCGATAAAAACAATGCGTTTATTAACTAATTGTGAGACACGTTATGATAGCCATGAATGCCATGAATGCCCACAATTGCCGTCATTTGACACACAGTTTGCGTGGATTTTGAATACATGTGACAAATGAATGGCAAAAATGTAAACAAAAATGTGTTTCAAAAGCGTTTGCATTGAATGTGACTTGAATTGAGTGAACGATACGATTGTGTGCTTTAATTGTAAACTTATCGCTAAACCAATGAAAACGTGTTGTTATGTTGTTAGCAATCAATTGTCTCATCGTTTCGCTTACCATTCAATCCGTATTCACATCACAATTGAANAATTGAGTGAACGATACGATTGTGTGCTTTAATTGTAAACTTATCGCTAAACCAATGAAAACGTGTTGTTATGTTGTTAGCAATCAATTGTCTCATCGTTTCGCTTACCATTCAATCCGTATTCACATCACAATTGAACTCAAAATCGTTTGACGCCAACAAATGCCACACTATTGTCGACCAGAAGGTCGACATCGACTACAAGACACAGATTGTCAACAATGGTATGACTGTTTGCCATCACTTATGGCTTGTGTTAACCATTAATTGTCTTCACGTGTTAACCATTTATTGTCTTCACTCCAGAATACATCATAAGTTTCAATGGTTTCTACAAAAGCCAAACCCGTCGGCGCTTTATATCATCGGCGCTCACGAACCACAAGAATGAGTCGTCCATTGAGTCCAACGAGTGGGAGATAATTGATCGCCAGAATGCTGGCCAACAGTTTCCCAGTGATTTCGATGTCATTCATGTGAACAGTTCCATCGATTGGGAACTATTGGCACAAACACTGCAAAGACATCCGAACATCAAGAAAGTGGTTCCACAGAAGATGATCACGCGGTTCATCAAAATTGTCAATTATTCGATGTCATTCATGTGAACAGTTCCATCGATTGGCAACTATTGGCACAAACACTGCAAAGGCATCCGAACATCAAGAAAGTGGTTCCACAGAAGATGATCACGCGGTTCATCAAAGTTGTCAATTCATCCCATTATGATGTGGTGGACGAAGACGTGGACGAGTTCCTGGAGACATGCGATGACCAGTTCTGTTGGAATCGTAACATAAGTGACAATAACTGGAATTCAGACCAACATATCTTCAGATCTCGTCACTCGCTTTCGTGGCTCAACGCCTTTAGCTTCAGTTTTGGCGGAAGTGGTGGCGACTCTCGAAGGCGTCTCTTGAGAGCCATTCCGCGGCAAATAACAAGTGTACTACAGGCGGACGTGCTGTGGGGGATGGGTATCACCGGCGCCGGTGTTAAAGTGGCCGTCTTTGACACGGGTTTACCTAAAAATCATCAGCACTTCAAACGAATTAAAGAGCGAACGAATTGGACGAATGAGAAGACATTTGACGACGGCTTAGGTCACGGGACGTTTGTGGCCGGAGTGGTCACCAGCAGTAAGGAGTGTTTGGGTTTCGCACCGGTATGTAGTATGCAATCATCTGTACGCTCAGCCATTAATTGATTACTGATTGACAGGACGCTGAGCTGCACGTGTATCGGGTGTTCACTAACAATCAGGTTTCGTACACCTCTTGGTTTTTGGATGCTTTCAATTATGCGATCCTCAAGAAAATCAATGTTTTGAACCTAAGTATCGGTGGACCAGACTTTATGGACCACCCGTTCGTCGACAAAGTCTGGGAACTGACGGCTAATAATGTGATAATGATTTCCGCCATCGGAAACGACGGACCACTTTATGGGACACTTAATAATCCCGCGGATCAGATGGATGTGATAGGCGTCGGTGGCATCAACTTTGATGACCAAATCGCACGCTTCTCTTCAAGAGGAATGACTACTTGGGAACTGCCGGGCGGTTATGGACGCGTTAAACCAGATATTGTGACTTATGGGTCTGCCGTTCGTGGCTCCAGTATTAAAGGGGGCTGTCGTTCACTATCGGGAACATCGGTGGCGTCGCCTGTAGTGGCCGGTGCTGTCACTCTTCTGATGAGTGCAGTCCTTCATATGGGAAACACCATAAACCCCGCGTCTATGAAACAGGCACTCATGGCATCGGCCAGACGTTTGCCAAACATTCCCATCTTCGAGCAGGGGTCGGGTAAACTGGATTTGGTTCGCGCCTATCAAGTGCTCCGGTCCTACAGACCTCAGGCCACTCTCAGTCCCAGTTATCTCGATTTGACTGACTGTCCATATATGTGGCCCTATTGTACTCAGGTATGTGCGCGCATTTCTATTTACATTCACTTACACAGTATTACGTACAGTATATTTACGGTACAAACTATTGCCACAAATTGTGATCTATTTTTCATTCATTAAATCTATTTAAAAATTGCCTGGTTAATGCTATGATGGGTGACCTTTAATAGTGTTTTATTCTGTAATTAATACTCAGGCCCTATATTACTCGGCGATGCCTACTATTGTGAACGTGACTATTCTTAATGGAATGGGAGTGACGGGTATTATAAGTGGAAAACCTCAATGGCATCCATACACCCCTCAAAACGGACAATATTTAGATATTGCAATCACTCACTCGGATATGTTATGGCCGTGGAGTGGATGGATGGCTATATACATCTCAGTGTCTGCCGATGCCCAGCACTGGGAGGGCATAGCTCAGGGACACATCTCACTGACCGTTGAATCGCCTCCCAGTGAGAAAGGAGGTCAGCCCCAGAAGTCGGACATCAAACTACCCTTAAAAGTGAAGATTATAGCCACTCCGCCCAAAAGCAAACGTATCCTATGGGATCAGTACCATAACCTGCGTTACCCTCCGGGGTATTTCCCGCGCGATAACCTCCACATGAAGAATGATCCGCTTGATTGGAATGGAGACCATATTCAGTGAGTTATCAATTGTTGTCTCTTTTTATTATATCTAATATTTATTCCCATTTTAGCACTAATTTCAAGGATATGTATCAACACTTGAAAACAAATGGCTATTACGTGGAAGTGTTGGGCTCTCCCTATACGTGTTTCGATGCCTCCCATTACGGGACACTACTGGTTGTGGACCCCGAAGAGGAGTTCTTTCCCGAAGAGATAACAAAACTGAAGCGAGACTTTGATGACGGACTGTCTGTCATAGTGTTTGCCGACTGGTATAACGTAACGGTTATGAAAAAAGTGAAGTTTTACGACGAGAACACTCGCCAGTGGTGGGAACCGGACACCGGGGGCGCCAACATTCCAGCAATCAATGACTTGCTTTCGTCGTGGGGTATAGTTTTGGGCGATTATGTCTATGAAGGAGACTTCAGAATAGGCACTCACGACATGTACTTCGCCTCCGGTTCCAGTATTGTTAAGTTCCCGCAGAAACACAGCCTTTTAGTGCGAAGGGATCTCAACGATCAGGGATTGGAAATACTAAGCGGACAAAAGCTGGAGATACCAAACGTGCCCATACTTGGCATGTATAGCCCGGAGGTCGCGTCTGGCGCTCAAAAGGGCAGGCTTTCCATTTATGGTGATTCCAATTGTTTAGATACGGCACACATGCAGAAGGACTGCTTCTGGATGCTCGAGGCTCTGCTTCAGTTCTCGACCACCGGAAAGATTCCCATTATTTTCAAACAATTGGATAAAGAAGAGGACATTAAGTCGAATGATGTGGAGATGAGTGCATCGGATGACAAATCTCCACATGTTTTACAAGAACTTCCCCAACGAATGGAAGGCAACCATTTGTATAGATATTCCAAAGTATTGGACCATCACATGGAGAATACGCATAGTATTCGAAGTCTTCCCTCGTGTTTGTCATTAAAATACGAAACACCAGTTCCACTAAATAGGACTAACCCTTCAAATCTTTACAAATCTCAAAAGCTGTTATCAGTCAGTGGTATAGACATTCCCATGTCTTTCCCATCGAAGCATTCAAACAATTTCGAGCACTTTGAGTCTTCGCGATGGGAAACGGGAGCCCTTTTCAGTGATATTAAAGAATCTGAAGTACGCCTCCCGTCTCTGACCACACTTTTCTTGTTAGTTGTGTTGGTTTTCCTATTTCTACTCTTAAAGCAATGGTTCCTTCACTTAAGACCTCACAGAACGCGTAAACGGAGGTCAAGAACTACTGTCAAACGCCTGTTACTACAGGCCTTACCTTCACGAGTGCCCACTGTTTAACCATTGGAGGCAAGACTTCCTTTCATTTTAATCATTGCATTCATTCATTGCATTATTTATCACATTTATTTCAAGCATTTTCTACAAATTATTGTTTTCAATTGGATTATTCAGTGATATGTTATGTTTCGTAATTTAATGTGAATACAAATGATGTAAAAATGTCATTATCCACACAATTATTGACCAAAAGTATACTATTTTTATAGCATTGAGTTCTTAAATTTCATACTTTTATAGTTGTTTTTACAATTCATAGTTATATTTATTATGTTTTATTACTTAATCTAGAATAGTGTGGCATAATATTAAGACACTCAGAATGATGTGTTACCGTAATTAGAGCCCCCATTCCCACGTCTTCTCTATAGCAACAGCTCTACCCTTCCATAACATGACTACCAAATGAGATGTTTTTATTTAATCTTTTTGTGATTACATATGGAAGTGATAACTGCATCACTGTATACAGTATACAATTCTTAAGCATTCAGTATTAGTTACAATGAATTATTCGTTTAAATTTCGGTACACTACCCATATATTTACCGATTATTATATAAATTTACTTTTGAATTTATTCACGAATTGATAATTTCTCATACAGTATACCCTAATATCAAATCGCTTGAACTCTTATTCTGATTTGCATTTCCGTTAAGTTTTTATTTTTCAATCCAATTCTCATCTGATTTTGACTGAAGATGTTATGAAACAAATAATTGATACATTTGTTTGTTGTCTTATTTTGCTTTTTTTCAATTTTAGCACTTTATTCTAACTTAATATTTATATTAAACTAATCTCTCGAGGAATCGGAAATCATGTCTTTGATGTTAATCACCACAAGTTTTCTATATTTTCTTTATTTTATTTCTTTAAAACACTAGAATTCTTGTAAACATTTATATATTAATTGAATTGTTGTGTCTATTCTTAGGATTTTTATTTTGCTAACGATTTATACGAAGAAGTCTGCGATAAAGTCAATGACAATGCCTTTAACTGTTGGCTGGTTTTGATTCAGTCGTATTGTTACTCATTTCCCAAAATTGAAGCCCTCTTTGATCTCATTGAAGATATCATCGCAACCAACACATTATGTCTATAGTCGACCACACGATTGCAATATATTGATCAATTCATTCAGATTTTATTTTCAAAGTTTAGTCAATTTTAATGAAATCATCTTTTTATACGCGGCTGGATATGGGCTTTAAATTAAGTGTACATATATTTAGTGATTTATAATTTAAAATAAGTTTTTAATTGTTATTATGTTTAATGTACAAAGTTGATATTGGAAATAAAAATTTTAGTTGAAATAGATTTTTTAATATAAAGATTTATTTGATAAATACTGTACAATAAGTTTATTGTTGGGTTAAGTGCAGCGATAGAGATAGTGTCGGCTTTAACTGTAAAAACCATTGAATCTCCGGGTGACCAAACATATGTATGCTAAGTGGGGTGTATAGCCACCTATTCTCCCGTTCTTAATATAAGTTAATACCACATATATTACTTGAGAGAGTCATAAAGCACTTTGTTTTTATCATCACTTGAAATCTTGGCTTAAATCACAATTTTTGACCCAAACATAGACTCAGACTCCGGTCCCCCTTTTGCCACCTATTCTCATATGATTCCTATATGACTACATCGGTTCAAATCCCGCAATTGTGTTAACGACCCGCCGCTAAATAATCCTTTTATTATGTTTACAAAATTTGTAAGAAAAAACTTTTTTGAACTCAAAAGGCATTTGCTTTTGCTGCCGACTCCGAGACTACTTTTTCTGTTTGGCTTTCTTTTTACACTTATATTTATTTCTCAATTCATTTTCTAAATTTAGTTTTGAAAAACTGTTTTTTATTTTAGGCTAATCTCACATTTTCGTGAATTCCTTATTCATATCAAATAAAATAATAGTAATCCGATTCTCTTTTTAATCTTATTTAACAAACATTTTTATTTTCATATTTAGAAATAAAGTTCAAATACATATTTTAATGAATTATGTATTACTGGGAGATTATACTTATGACACGAAAGGAATGATCAAAATCATTGAAATCGTTAACAACTTCATTGTTCTTATGGCTAAACGCCTCAAATTATTAATAATTGTTACGATTGATTAAAACTAAGTAATCGTGAATTTGATAATTCATAACACATTGGTGTTGCCATAATATTGTGTAATTAGATTGTAGTGGAGTCTCACTGGAAGTGAGTGTTTGGATGTATGGGATGTGAGACTCAATGGTTCCTTATTTCTATAATTAGATACTTTATGTGGGCTTCAGATCAGAGCCAATGAATTCTGAACGCAAAAGAGGGAGAAAAGGATGCGCTCAGAGCTTACGATTTTTTGGCAAAATACCGATTAGTAGCAACTGATGCAAAATTTCTCAAATCCATTTCTACATTATTTTGTTGGCTTTGACTTTAATTTGCTGTAATTATTCTTAATTCCTGTGAAATCCATTTTCCTTCAAAATCTAGTGATAATATAGACAAACTCTGCCGTCAGCGTAAACGGAGGTCAAGAACTACTGTCAAACGCCTGTTACTACAGGCCTTACCTTCACGAGTGCCCACTGTTTAACCATTGGAGGCAAGACTTCCTTTCATTTTAATCATTGCATTCATTCATTGCGTTATTTATCGCATTTATTTCAAGCATTTTCTACAAATTATTGTTTTCAATTGGATTATTCAGTGATATGTTATGTTTCGTAATTTAATGTGAATACAAATGATGTGAAAATGTGATTATCCACACAATTATTGACCAAAAGTATACTATTTTGATAGCATTGAGTTATTAAATTTCATACTTTTATAGTTGTTATTTACAATTCATAGTTATATTTATTATGTTTTATTACTTAATCTAGAATAGTGTGGCATAACATTAAGACACTCAGAATGATGTGTTACCGTAATTAGAGCCCCCATTCCCACGCCTTCTCTATAGCAACAGCTCTACCCTTCCATAACATGACAACCAAATGAGATGTTTTTATTTAATCTTTTTGTGATTACATATGCAAGTGATAACTGCATCACTGTATACACTGTACACTATACAGTATACAATTCTTAAGCATTCATTATTAGTATTAGTTACAATGAATTATTCGTTTAAATTTCGGTACACTACCCATATATTTACCGATTATTATATAAATTTACTTTTGAATGTATTCACGAATTCATAATTTCTCATACAGTATACCCTAATATCAAATCGCTTGAACTCTTATTCTGATTTGCATTTCCGTTAAGTTTTTATTTTTCAATCCAATTCTCATCTGATTTTGACTGAAGATGTTATGAAACAA